CCTCTTCCTCTCCTCTTCTCCTTCTGCCTCTGCCTACTGAGTGGTGGGATTATGTACCACCATGCCCAGCAATCTTATTGATCAAGTGTCTTAAAGGAACATACACCTCAGAGGTACATTAAAGAATTTGTTATTAGTTTCCTTTACAAACTGGGAGCCTTGTACACCTGCTGGTTTCTAAGTACCTAGAGCTTCAAAACCCCCAATAATTCCATTATCTTGCAAGTTTTATTTGTAAATTAAATATTTGCCTACTGTTCTTTTTAAGATTCAATCTGGTACAACATACAGAATGAATAATGATAATCTGCCCTGCACTCAGGGTGGGCTGAGTGGCCAAACAAAAACAAAACATTGTTGAGAAGAGTGTGGTATCAACTTGGCTGCCCACGTCTAGATGCATGTACTTACTGCGCTACAGAGTTTCTCTTTGGCAGCCTGCTGGAGCAGGGCCTGACTGGGAGGCTCACCTCTTTTATGAAAAGACTTTTGTGTGCCTGTAACACAGTCCGAGCTGAGGAGCTGTGCCATCTCCTCTGAGGGCTTTTATATCTGCTTTGGGAGGAGGAGCCAGTAAGTCTTAACCATAAATTCATTCTGGAATATTTTAAATGTCTTTGCCAGTATTTTTCTTTTTTTTTTTTTTTTTTGGTGGAACCGGGGATTGAACTCAGACCATTATGCTTGCCAGGCAAGTGCTTATTCCACTGGGCCGTCTCCCCAGCCATTGGTTTGGTTTTTTGAGACAGAGTTTTGCACTGTACTTGAGGTTGGCCTTGAGATCACTGTGTAACCCGGGCTGGCACGTTGATCCTCCTGGTTCAGCTGTCCTGAGTGCTGGCGTTACAGGCACACACTATCACACATGGGAGACATTGAATTTATGGTGTCCTCCCCGAGTAGCTGGGGTTATAGGCTTGCCCCATTGCCTGGCTCAGTGTGTTTTTGTGTGTGTGTGTGTGAGAAAGTGAGGTTATACTGTGTAGACTTTTCACCTAAAAAGTCATGCTTGCTTTATGGCATTTTATTATATACAGATACCATTATTTATTTCACTGTTTCCCTATTACTGCAGTTAATACAGAGATATCTAAGCTGTTTCCAGTCTTCTGTAGTTAGAAACGCTCCTCCCCTAGTAGTTTGCTTTTGTGTTTGTCTTCTTCATGTCTTGCTTTTCCTTTTAAAGTTTCTTTTGTTTTTTTTATTTGCGTTCCTGGGGATTGAACCCAGGGCCTTGTGTGTGCTAGGTAAACACCTGCTGAGCTACATCCCTGGCCCAC